GCGCTACATGTATTTAACCATAAACTTCTTTAGGTTTAGATATGAATCCAGTAAAGTGACTTTAGGGTCAGTAGATAACAGACTTGTGAGGAGACTCCATTACAGCAGACACTTTGGTCATAGTATATGATGGGTCATAACACCGGTATAATCTGATCATACATATTATGATTATGATGATGATTATCACTATTGTTATTATTATTTTATCTGATTAGATACTGAAAAGGCTAATCACTACAATATTTGGATCGACAAGTTAAAACATACATAAAAAAATTAATGTTCTACAGGTGGTTATCTCTTCTTCCATCATTCTCAGATCATGCAGATCTTGTCTCCTTTAGTTTTCCTGTTACTGCCTCATATTTTTTATGATGAGGAACGTTCATATATCCAAACTGATTAGTAGATAATTGGATGCAAGCCTGGAAGTCTGTGCTCATAAATCACAACCATAAAACAGCAAAACAACTTATAACCCTACTTACAATAACTAAATATCTGAAACTATAAACTAAAGGCCATCAATGGATTCTAAAAACATCTTAAGGCGAACCGTTGTTGATACCTTTCAAACCACCATACCAGATTTGCATCTTACAAGGAGTTTTAAATCATTCTGTTTATTTTCATCTGAGTCTATTTTGGGTCTCTTCATCTTTAGCAAAACAAAAGCCCTTTTTTTTATAAAGCTAGGCACAAACAAAACATTTATTACAATGATTAGCCCAAACCAAATCAAATGAACCAATTAACAGGCTAACTATAACACAAGGCAGCACCCCATTAGCTGCAACCAGTTGTGATAATAACCTTTTTACTTCTTTCTCATCTGTCTTAAAAGTGGTGCCCTCTGCTTCTCATCTATACATTAACACCTGCCAATCAGCTAAAAGGCAAGGCAAATTTATTTGTATAGCACAATTCAGTACAAAGACAATGCAAAGTGCTTTACATGATTAAAATACAGGAAGATAAAACAGAAACAAAGCACATAGGAAAAATAAATAAATAAATACATTTTTTTTTTTAATTTAAAAAATAAAACAGCGTTTTCTGTGTGCAACATGCTCAAGCGCTGTTTCTGCCTTAATAACAGTCTACACACAACATTTTCCCCGTTATTTATAAAACTGTAAAATCTGACATTTCCGATAAAGGGACTGTCAACAATTTCCGGGAACAGTCCCCATTTTGGACCACCTTTCCCCAGAAATTGGGGACGTCTGGTCACCAATTTTTTTCAAACTTATTCTATTTGAGCTAAGCTCATACCAAATTATACATTTTCATGACTGTGCTAATTTAAGTTATTTAGCGAACAGTAATGTATGCATAAAATTTTCAAAATTACTTGTAAGACTGCTTGAGTATATTTAGTAATATAAGAGTATTTATCATGCATGTGCTCTTTTTGCAGGATTTTGATTAAATATGCAACACTATGCATTAAGGGCTAAAAAGATGACAAGTTATTCTTATATTTAAAATAACATTTTACTAGATGTTATTTCCGGGCTGCACAATGGTAGTGTGGTAGCACTGGTGGCTTGCAGCAGTTCCTGGCCCGGGGTCTTTCTGCATGGAGTTTGCATGTTCTCCCTGAGCATGTGTGGGTTCTCTCCAGGTACTCCGGCTTCCTCCCACAGCCCAAAACCATGACGTTACATTAATTGGTTTCTCTCAGTTGTCTTAGGCGTGAGTGTGTGTGTGCTTGGCTATGTGTCTTTGTGTTGCACTGCGCCAGACTGTCAACCTGCACAGGGTGTAGCTGCATCTATGTATGTATGTATGTATGTATGTATGTATGTATGTATGTATGTATGTATGTATGTATGTATGTATGTATGTATGTATGTAAGTATGTAAGTAAACTGAGGTATCCATCTGTCCATATGTTAATTTAATCCCAACCTTTCTTGTTGTTATTTTCTCATTTGGTTGTCTTGTTTAAGACACATGACACTGCAGTGCTTATAAAAGACCCACATTGCTGACGTCATGTATCACAGACCTTTTTAGGAGGTTTTCGTTTAAACTCTGTAGAGCAGGGGGAATTCCGGTAATTTTAAGGAGGAAAAAAAGGGAAAGAAACAGGGAGGGTGGCAGTGGCGGGGCATGCTCTAGAGGAACCCCTCAATTATTGGGTTGTTCCATGCCAGGGGGGTTATCGTTGTTAAAATGCCTGGCAGCGGATCCCCTTAGGGGATATATGAGCCATGCGGCAGCAGCCCTGACCAAGGTTACATGCTGCGGCTCCAACAGACATCACACATTGAGCATTGAGAACTAAACTATCAGATAAAGTTGCTTATGCTACGTTTTAAACAACAGAAGATTTCTCCTTGTTTCCTTGCAACTTTTACTAAGATCGCTCTAATTTTTACTTTACCTTGTTCTTAAATTTACCCATACTCACAAGTAAACTCTAAACTGTTTTTATTATTACAAACAGCTCAACTTTCTTCTGGTTTTTATATCTATTAGTGATTTGAGTCATTTGACCTGGATTTCTAAGTCTCCTATGCTTCTACATTCAATTTTCCCACCAAACCTATCTGACCTCATGCTGCTAAAGTCTTTAAAAATATTACCTATGCTCTATATAACTTTACAGCTTGTGGAACCACCTTCAGCAGCAGTAACGCTTAGGCCCCATCCTCATCCAGATTATATTAGGTGTGCCTTATAGGTATTTTGCCATCTAGGCTTTGTATCAAAGAGATGCAGCCCTTTTTGAAACCAAATAAATAATTTTTGACAGGTAAGTAGAGTAACTTAAATTTGACTCAAGTAAGAGAACTACTTTATTCATTTATTTTAATTCATTAATTTTAATTTGAGTGAATTAGAAAACAGGTTCCCAAACATGACTCAGGTAAGTGTAAAAGAGTTATTGGTAATATGGCTACGGAGGCACTGAGTGGGATAATAACACTTTATTTAATGTTCAAGTTATGAAATCAGACAGACTATTATTTTCACTTTGTGATACTATATATAGCACGTATGTTAGGATGGTATAGACTGAATTCTGTTCTATTGTTGTTGCAAGTTAAAAAGAAACATTTTGCAAAAAAAAAAAATAATAATTCAAACCAGACATTAAATTTCAAATTTTATGTTTTAAACTTGTATTTTAAGTGGAAAAAAATGTGTGGCAGTAACTTTCCTGTTTTCAGAAAAGTAGTTTTTTTTGTTTGAAGTTTGGCAAAAACATAAATTACACAAAATTACATTTAATATTTATAAATGGTGTTTATCAAGTATCTGTTCTTGAGATGAGTTTCTTAAACTGGATTCTTTTCAAATTGCATTTCACAGATTTCATACCGTTTACCTTCGGGGGCGGGCTTTTCTTTGCAGTGAGGAGCGTAAACGCATTCCTATTGGTCTGCATCTGCGTTAACAACAAAGCTGTACTGGTGCATGTCCATGTCGGGAGTGATGGTTTGGATTACGCTTGAAGTGAAGAGAATGTGATCTATGAAAAAATCTAAGAAAACACCAGAGTTTCTTTTAAAACCATTTTCTGATTAAAACTTTTTTCAAAGCTTAATTTCTGAATCCCATTCAACCAAATTTTCCATTTATGTTCTTTTATGGCAAATATAATGGAGCAAAATTCACAACATTCAAATGAAATTTCTTTTTGTATACACTTGTGTTCAAAATGACAAATAAAATCTGTCTAAGTGGACATAATTAATTCCTAAGCTGCCGATGAAAACATACTGTGTTCATCTCCGTGTGGACTATGCCTTAGTTATAACTTTCTGTACGAATTTATCAGGCTTTTAGCTTGTTATCCGGGACTTCAGACTGACTGTACAACATTGCTTTGGCTCCATAAGGTTTCCAAAGTTTCCACAATATTTCTTTAGGTTGAAGATCTGAACCTTGAATATTTAACTGCAGGCTGTTGAAGATTTGTTGCTCTGTTTGGGATTATTTTCATATCGATGTTGGACAGATGACTTGACTTCAATTCTTTATATTAAAAATCAAATCCCGGTAAACCAGAACTGCTGATGTGTCTAGTTGTTTGAATGTGAGCTTTACTTCAGTTTTTCCCCAGTACTTTGTTCCACTACATTTTTGCTTGTTCATTGTCATTTATTTTAGCATTGAAATTTGAACTGAAGCCTTAAAATCTGTGATGGAGCGCTTGATCTTTGCACTTTTAGCATTAGCTTGGCATAAATATATATATATATATATATAAAAGCACAAATTCTCATTACTAATGTCTTTTCACCTTGAAAAATAATCAGCTAATGAAGCAATTTTGTTTATTATACCCCAAAAGATTCAGTAAAATTTGTTGATGTAATGCAAAGATATTAACATTTAACATAATAAGAAGAAATAAATATACCTAAAAACATGCCACTATGCATCCAGGAAAATAGCAGGAAGTCCACTACCAATAAATTCTACAGACAAAATTTATTTGTCCAATGCCTGTTATGCTTAAAGAGATTAAGAAGAAAGATCATTATGCATTGAGATGATAATCTTGAGATCAGTCCCTTATTTTTAATTATTTCAACATCTCTTCTTGTTTTTAAACCTGTTCATGTCTATAACCTGTTTACCTGTTTATATCTGTCCTTAAAACAGTTAGATAAAGAAGCAGCAACACAATGTGATGTCTTAGAGTGTACCTTAAGGTTGCTAAATTTCATTTTAAATCCAGTGGAGAAAGCAAAAGTGGCCCGTTTTGTTTATCACAGCAGTACTTGAAACATGTTAAATATTACTGTTTCTATTTCACAATGACATAACATCTTAAATGTCTGCTGTTTTATGATGTATGAAATTTCAAATGAAATTTGCTCTTCAGTCAAAGTCAACAATGGAGTAAAGAGTTTTTGATGTCTTAGGAAAAAGGGCCAAAGGGTATAGGCAAAGTTGTGAAGCTGAGTCACACCAGCAAAGTTTGTGATCAGCTACTTCTGAATTCTCTTTAAACGGAATCTTTTCTCTTTTTACAGGCTAAAGCTGTTAATTGAACAGGAAAAGGCCTATCAAGAAAGAAAAGACCAAGAAAACGACAAAAAGGTTGCAAGTCTGAAGGAAGAGCTCACAAAACTCAAGTCTTTTGCATTGATGGTTGTGGATGAACAGCAGCGCCTCACTGAACAGCTGAATCAGAAGGCAGTCAAGGTCCAAGAGCTCAGCACGGGCTTTGCACAAGCTCAGGAAGAACTGAGTCTAGCTAATGCTCGTCTGCAGGAAGAGGAGCAAAAGGTCAGTCGTTTAGAGACTGAGTTACATGACCAAGCAAGTCAACATTATCAGGAACAGGAAGCAATGACTGCCAAACTGACCAGTGAAGATGCTCAAAACAGGCATCTGCGCCAGAAACTGTCAGCACTCAGCCGGCAGCTCGATGAGCTGGGGGAGACCAACAAGACCCTCAGAAGGGCCGAAGAAGAGCTGCAGGAACTGAGGGACAAAATTAGCAGAGGCGAGTGTGGAAACTCAAGTCTCATGTCGGAACTTGAGGAGTTACAAAAACGAGTTCTGGAGATGGAGGGGAAGGACGAGGAGTTGATCAGAATGGAGGACCAGTGCAGAGACCTCAACAAGAAACTGGAGAAAGAGACCAAACAGAGCCGGTGCTTGAAAGCTGAAGTTGATCAACTGAATCACAGAATTACAGAATTAGAGAAACTAGAGGATGCTTTTAGTAAAAGCAAACAAGAATGCATTTCCCTGAAGAGTAACTTGGAAAAGGAGAGGACTGTGTCAAAGGTTTTGAGCAGCGAACTGGAAATATTGAAGGTTAGAGTCAAAGAATTGGAGGGTGCAGAAGGCAAGATGGTCAAGACTGAGCAGATACTAAAAGAGGAGCTGTCCAAACTAAAGACTCTGACAGTTATGCTGGTAGATGAGAGAAAAGCAATGGCAGAAAAGCTAAAACAAATGGAGAACAAAGTACAAAACAGTACTGGCAAGCTTCAAGCCGAGCAGGACAGGGTTACATCGGTCACAGAGAAGCTAATAGAGGAAAGCAAAAGGGCATTAAAATCAAAGGCAGAGCTAGAGGAGAAAATGTGCTTTGCAACAAAGGAAAGTGATGACTTAAAGGCCAAACTAAGAGCTGAGGAAGAGAGGAATAAAGATCTGGAGTCTAAAATCAACATGATGAAGAAACGGTTGCAGTCACTTGAGACAATTGAGAGGGAATATCTACGAAGCAAAGCAAAAGAGGAGCAACTTAAAACACCTCTCACTAATCGCTTCCAGCAAGAAGACAACAAAATCAAAGATCTGACACAGGAGGTTGAACGCCTTAGACGTAAGTTAAAGGATATGAAAGTGGTAGAGGGGGACTCCTCAAAAACACCCGAGTATGAAACACTGGAAAAAAGGTTCACCAATGAACAACAAAGAGCCAAATCCCTGATGGAGGAGCTTGAGGTATCCAGAAAAGAGCTTTCCATGTACCAACTGGCAGAAAAGAAAGAGTGCAATCAAGAGCATGTTCTTTATAAACGCTTGAAGGAGGAGGAAGCAAAGTCTAGCCATCTGTCCAGAGAAGTGGCAGCTTTGAAGGAGAAGATTCATGAGTACATGGGAACAGAAGAGTCTATTTGCCGCATGAAAACTGACCATTCTACTCTGCAAAGAAAGCTAACCCAGCAAGAGGTCAGAAACAAAGAACTGGCCCGAGAAATGGAGACGCTAACTCGAGAGCTGGAGAGATACAGGCGCTTTAGTAAAAGTCTTCGCCCAGGCATGAATGGAAGGCGGTTTTCAGACCTTCATGTTTCTACGAAGGAGGTTCAGACTGAGCCGCTTGAGCTCATGTCCCCCAACAGTAAGACTACTGTACCCCTGGAACGAGCAGTGGTCAACGGGAAGCTGTACGACGAAAGCGCCCCTGATGATGACGCAAACTACAGCAATGAACTACAGCTCGCCAAGTATAGCCCTTCGCTCATCAACAACGTCAACAACCTGAACAACAATATGAGACGAGGCCAATTCTTCAAAACGAAAGACAGCACTCATCAGGTGAATGGCAAAATGCAGCCACGGCATAACAGCAACCATGTCCAAGCTGGAGACTTGGTGTTGACCCATAGTCCTGGGCAGCCGCTGCATATAAAAGTTACCCCTGACCACGGACAGAACACAGCAACTCTAGAGATCACCAGTCCAACCACAGAAACACCTCAGTCATTCACCAGCACCGCTGTCATACCCACAAGTGGAGGTCCCCCCAAGCAGAGAATTACCATCATTCAGAATGCCTCGATTTCCCCTACTGCAAAATCCATTTCTCCGACAACTAAATCAAAGCGTTCCTCAATCTCAGATGAATCATGCTCCCCAGATAGAGTACTATCACCTTTCACCATGGCTACATACTCTAGAGCAATGACCCCAGACTCATGCGGCTCTGTAACCCCAGACCGAGCCATGTCACCCATACAAATTGTATCCGTGACAACAGGTGTGCAGGATCGCTCCCTCTCGACAGAGCCTGCAGAGGTCGGGCACGCTGTCTTCCGTGTCACCCCTGAGAGACAGAGCAGCTGGCAGGTACAAAGGTCCAACAGCTCGGGGCCAAACGTCATCACCACCGAGGATAACAAAATCCACATTCACTTAGGAAGTCCGTTCATTCAGAGTATCAGCACTCCTTCGCAAGCGCCTGGAGCCTTGGAAAAAATGACTCAGGTTACTGCAAACTCCAGCACTCCAGTTGCCAAAGGCAACAGTAAAATTACAAGTAGCATCATGATTAAGCCCACATCTACCCCAATCCAAAGACCATCACAGATTACAGTAAGTAATGCTTACCAGTGACCCAACAGTCCCTGAACCCTCCATCCCATCCCTAGTTTGGAATCATAGTATCTTTGGCTCTAACAACTCTTAGAACCATGTCTGTTTTATTCATCTAATAGTCTAAACAGTTGGTTGTTGGACTTTTTATTTGGTTTGTTTTGTGCTGTGTGATAAAAAAAAAAAATAACCAAATGCATGAACACAGTAAAGACACCAGGTTCTAACTCATGTGCACTTACTGTATTGTACTCAATGGCCCATTTGCCATGTAGTCTGATTCACACTGATGTATCGTGCCAGTTTTTATTCACCATATTTTCACAAACTCCATTTTGTCTGAGCTGTTTTGATTTTATTTTGAATAATTAAAGTGTGAGAATAAGATTTTTGTTTTAGTTTGTCATCCATGCTTGCTGATTTTTATTCATTCAATAAATCCAGCATGTTTTAAGAGTGTTTCATTCAAGAAAAAGACTGAAGGGGATTATATACAAATTGAAACTTGCTGCGTGATTTTTACCGCATGTTAACAGGATAAAAATCCATTGTCTTTATTCAAAACTTCCTGTGAATCTATTGAACTCTTTCACAGGCATAGATAAAGCACTCTGGGATTCTCACATATTTTCTTTTGCTTGACCTAAAATCATAGGCTGATGTCATAGTTTCTTCCTAGAATCTATGGCCCAGAAACCCAGTGACTAAAAATGAAAAGCAGGGGGGATGTTAACTTGGGAGTTCTCTGCCATGACTAAATGGAAACTCAGCTTTAAACCTTTGGACCTTAACATAGTGTCCCATAAACGGGGCAGTGGAACCAAATCCTTGCTTGTCCCAAAAATAGCTTTAGGAAGCAAAAGTAACATTATGGAGTGAATTTTTTCCCATTTATTCTTGTGGAAACCAAAGAACACAATTTATATAATTAACACATTTTGTAAATAAAATAAAAAGAAATTAAAAATACATATTGTAAATGGAAATCTTAAGCTTTGTAAATTGGAATAAAAATAATAATGCAATTAATGCATAAAACTCAGTCTGAGAAAAGTGAAATAAAAAAACACACACACACACACACACACACACACACACACACACACATGAGTAGGTAAGTGAGATACGTTGCCACACACACATGTGTATATATATATATATATATATATNTTTATAAAAATCTATCATAACAAAAATGCTATATCAGCATGAATTACTTTTTAACCCCTGGATGTAATTTGGACAACTTTATATATATATATATATATATATTTACATTTTTTTATGAAAATAAACTTACTTAAAGTTACATATCTGTCTGGGCTGCATCTTTTTGGTCTTCTCTTGAAACAAATGAACCAAACTCACTCCATAATTATAGATGTGTTAAAACAAAGGCTTTTCAAGCTGTTTTTATGTTGTAGTACACTTGAAAGTTCTTCTACAGAAATCCACTACAGAGGAAATTAAAAGTATTCACATATAGCCGATAGTGATGCTGCAGAACTGTTGCTCACTTCCATTTGGACCTTAATTGTTCTGAGTTAAAGAAGTAAAAGCTAATTGCAGTGCCTAATAAATATAAAATCTTTTTCCAGCCTTCATTTTAACAGCTTAGAAGAATCAAAAAGTGAATACATTCTTTTTTAAAAGTGGCTTAGATTCCTACTGACAAAAGTATTAATGTGATAAGAGAATAAATTTTACATTTCTATATTAAATTAATATATCCCAATAATTATAATAAAATATCAGCTGATTATTGCAATACAAAAAATGTATATCTAAGTAGGTCCATTTTTCTTAAAATAAGTGCATTTTTTCTTAAATTAAGTAGGTAAGTGAGATACAATGCCAATGAATGAACAAGACAATTTATATTTGAAATAAAAAACAAATACACTTTTTATTCCAAATCCATCATATCTAATTCTTTTATTTTAAGTATAACACTGCTTGTTCAATTAGTAGGTTATCTTATTTGCCTCCTCAAACAATATGCTTATTTTTAAAATGTCATGTGTATTTTTAGAGTTTTTCCATTGCATATTACCAAAACATTTTAAAGGTTATTACTGCAGGCACCGTATTAAGGTAGTATAATACGAAAGCCAATTCTTGGTAGTAGTGACTCTTTTTATGCATTCTGCTGTGTAAAAATCAGATATATTATATTCGTCATTGTATTCAAGGTTACATACTATACTAAAAACTATGATGAATGCAGTTGATTACATCTAAGAGTCAAGATAAATAGTTTTAGCACAAGTGGATCAAAAACTGCAAATGAGATTGTTCTGGTGTTATTTTAGATTTATATTGAAAATTTATAGAGGTAATTTTAAATTTAATTCTAGAGCAAATGGCCAATTTTCCTATTTATAGATATATCAAATCCTCTACCTTTCATTTTTATTTGACATTAATAAGCTTGCAGTTAAGATGTATTTTTTGATTCATGTACAGAAAAAGGAAAGATAATATTGAGGAATTATTGAAGAGACATCAGATTCCTTTTTTGGGTAATTGACCTGCCAATCAGCAGTCAGTCACTGAGCATCGAACTGCCCCTAAAATGAGATCTGCTTAAAAGAAGATCTGGTGCTGGGTGCTTCTTCCACAAGGTAGCATTTAGTTTTTAGACAAATTCTCACTATGTTTGAACATATTTGTCCCCAGCACTCTTTACTTTTTCTTCACTCTTTTATAGTGAGCTGGTTAATAACCCATTCCATCTGTTTAATTTTCTTGCCCTGGAAATCCTGTCTTGTCAAGTGAGTCATCTGTACAGCTTACAAAAGCCATTCCATGAGTATGCATTACTCTAGATGGGTGGGGGGGGGGGGGGGGGGGGGGGGGGGG